TTATAAAAGAAGATAACCAGAACTAAACAAAAGGTTCCTCGAAGCTTGACTTAAGAGAAAGGGAGGTATCTTCAGATTCTAAATCTTACTATTACCTGACCCTAACATATGAGCATGTTACATAGTTATCTGTTAGTTTTTAAGATGTGGTAATAAATAATTTTGAATCATGACTACACTTAAAACGAACATTTACTTCCTTATCTGCAGAATTTGGAATCTTACTGTCTTGTATTTCCTTACCTTAAGTATTTGGAACACTAAAACTTCAGATAACGAGTTTATAGAGTTATGCTCTCCATTGTAAATAACCTAATAGGATACTGCAGTGATGTTCAACTGGGTGGCAGGTCTAAAAGCAGTTTTCAAAGTTGTTTTGCGTTACTAGAAAAAATGATTTAAGACTATACCTAGGAAGAAAGACTTCTTGGTACTTTTCAATTTCTCTTAGTGTTTTAGAAGCAACTGCTAAGGTTTCTCAAAAAAAAAAAAAAAAAAGCAAAAGACAAATCCTTATCCTTCTGTGTATGACATAAAGATACATGTGGAGCAGAGAGAAGAAATTTGTAAAGTGTTGTGAAGCAAACTATTATTTTATTTTATACACATTCTTCTATGACCTTTATTAGTATTTGAGTGCTTTCTGTTATAATAGTAGGAACTGTATTTTTCTAATATTTCACATAATAGGAAATACACGTAGACACTGTAACCTCTTCTTCCAGATTTTATTTTCATTTTCTTTTACTGTGTATGTTGCTATGTAGCTTGAAAGAAGAGCAAGCTTGTGCTCTGATTTTCCATCCTTCTCTTGATACCTGTAGCTGAAATAACATGAGCAGCCTGTAAGAAGATGGTTCAGAAAGCTGCTTGTTATGCTTGTTAGGGCAGTCTGTTAGACCTGTGTCATGGAAACCTTGCAAAATAGACTGTATAAAAAACTTCTGGACCTTTGTATCCTGAGGTATTGGCTGAAATCCTTGAAGTTCCTAATACACATAGATTTTTCAAGTCCTGTTATCAGAAGTATTTGAATTGATTTTAGTGCCTGTGGGCCAAATTTTTGTAAAGATACTAGGAATTCAGTGCTTAAGTACCTTCTCAAAACTATTCTTCCATTTGGTAAATGGGTAGCACAAGCTTGTATGTATTCTCAAAAACTCTTGGCAAGCTAAGGGAGACCTCAGTTATGTGCTGCCCATCTTACGACAGCATTTGCTATGCAGTAGTTCACAGCATTGGCCTTCTTGGCTGCCTGTTACCTGGGAATGGGCCCATGTTTGACTGGGCATGTGGAAGAAGTGCTAGGCTCCACAGGGCCTTTTGCTGCCTACGTGTGAGTGTTCGTGCAGAGTCTGGGAGTGGGCTGTTACTGAGAGCAGCATTCCTGGTTGTTCAGGTATCGCAAACATTTGGAACAACAGTGCAATACTGCCAGCTGCTCTTTAATGATTTATGAACTCCAGTTTAAAATAAGTATGTCTAAAAGCCTACAAGATTTTGTAATTAAATATTTAATTAACAAGAAATGAAGATGTCAGAAATGAGATTATTATAGCCTCTGATGTGCTGCAGAACTTACATAGTTGTTAGAGTATTTTAATTTGTTCAATTAAGTTTGTAGTCCTTACTAATGCATCCATTAGCTTTTTACAAAATGCCGTATAGTGATCTCATGGAAAAATCAAACAGTCAGTAGAGGGTACGTGGTTGTTTCAACATCATAGTTGCTTTGTGAGGAGGCTTACTGGCAACTTCCAGAGTCAAAGGCCTAATTCTGTGCTGTGATTCATCTTGTGTTTCCTCTTTTTGTATTTTTACTCTTGGCAAAACAGAAGTTGTACGGACTTATTTACTACTAAACTGCACTGTGACATTCAAAGTTGTATCAATCTAAGTTTTGTTCTTTTGTAGGCAAAAATCTGTTTATTTATTAATTTATTGTCAAATGTCTCTATGTCACTAATATTTAAATTCTTTTTTCTTTCCCTTTACTTGGATAAAAGTCTTCTGTTGAGAACTGGACCTGTGAACTAGTTTTCATTTACTAATAATGGGGAAGGGGTTTGTTTCTTTGCTTGATTACTAAATTTGGTGACTCAAGTTGAGCCAATGTGCTTTACACATTAGCTTTGATGTCAAAGTGAATTTTCACTTAGTTTTCATCCATTCTGTATCGTTTTCATTAGTAACTATTTTTGATGCTTTAAAAAATTCTGGTACAATTAATCTTAAGCCATCATTTCAGATTCTAATCTTACTTGCATCGTCAATATTGGACCGTGCTTCCCTTGCATTTCACTGTCTGTTTTCCTTTAGTCAACATGAGAAATGTTGAAGCTATTGCTATAGAGAACTTACAGTGCTCGAGGAGTGTAACTTTCTCTTGTCTAGCTACAGTTGAAAGGTTGTTTTTTTTTTCTTAAACCAAGCTCACTTTCTTTCACGTTTCAGAGTAATTGCAACTAAGTAGCCATTGTTAAACCTTTTAAGATTGTTGCCTTCCTGTTCTGCTGGTTGTGGCAGGAATGCTACCAATAGTTCTAAAATTTCTTGGGTCTTTTTATACATGTTTTAAGCACACTTTTTTTTTTTTTTTTTTTTTTTGTTTTGTTTTGTTTTGTTTTGTTTTAGTGTAGGTATAAAATATACTGGGGACATTTTCTGTGAGAGGACAGAGAGACTGAAATCAGGGGGCAAGGGAGGGTGTCAGATCTCTGTGTGAGTGATTCACCACTCGGTTCAGACAACTTTGTCTCCAAGCAGTTTTTCATTCCTCAGCAGCTCTAAGCACCTCAGGTCTTGCTCTTGTAGCACTGGATAGGTCACAGTCCCCAAAATACTGAGACTAGTCAGCTACCATTTGGCTTAAAGATTTACCTGTGTCTTCTTACTCTTTTAGTCTGTTTTTTATGCATTACATAAAGTCACCAATTTTCACCCACTCCTGTACACTCAGATATAAGGAACTCATCATGAATCCACTGTTTCCAAGGTCCTGTTTGTTTGCATTTACAGTAGGTAGCCTAGATGCGTTGCTTTTTTGGGTGAATCCCCTTAGCGAGGATGTTCTCCATTTAATTTGAACTCTCCAATAGCATGAGTTCTTGTTGGACAGGAGGGACCCCATCAATGAGAAATGGACCTGTACAGGTCTACCTTGGTAGCTTGAGCTCTCAAAGCATGGAACCAGTCAGCTAGCTGTGTTTCAGATGACAACTTAGTACCCAACAGCAATCTCACACAAAGGCACTGTAAAACAAAATACTGTGTTGATGCCACTTCCTGCTGCTGAAAATGTCTGGTGGAAATGTGAGGTGCTGGTGCATTTTGTTTTATTTTTTTAAACAGTCCAGGCCTCATGACAGCTGTCTGAAGGCAAAAGACATTTGGAACTGGAAGGAAGGGGTTTTTTAGATTATTTTTTTTCCAGCAAATATGAAATGTTTTTTCATATTAAAGTTTTCCAGATTTGGAGCTTATACTTAAGAACTGATGTAAGTATTACTCCTTAGTACAGCATCAGTACATTTACAAAGTAATTCTGAGAGTGATGTGATAAAGTATAAAACAATGTTTGAAATATCCTTGAACAATGTGCTTTGTTTCCTTAAAGCTATAATATTCCTGCTATTGAAGTGTATTATCTCTGTCAAATCGCTCAGTCCCACCTCAGAAAAAGCTGCCAGTGATTTCAAAGGGAGTTTTGCCCCAGGTACTGCTTGCAACATCAGGACCAGGAATTAGTGTAATGTAACCCACCATTTGTATTGCTTTGGGGTAAATTTAAGAGAGAAGGTTTAACATTGTGTATGTCATGCTGAGATATTGCAATATCTTGGATGGGTTATTAGGCACTGATCCAAAGGTTAAGTGCAGCAACCACATGAGATGTGGCTTTATCCTTACATGATCTGTGCCCGTGTTCTATTTTGTAGTCCCCTGGAATGGAAATTATCACTAGAATAAAACAGCACGTTTCTAAGACTTCACTGGAATCTATCCTAAGCTATAAAATGTAGTTTCAATACAAGTGTGTGTGTGTGTATATGTCCTTTGAAATCTAGAAATCAGTCCTCGTATGTGTGGAATTTTGAATCTACGTCCAAATATGCACAAGAAAAATATTTACGACCTCTGGGAAAGTCTAGATATAAATCTGTGGTTGAGGATCTTTTCTAATTTATATGCATATATCTTTTTTGTTTCTTATTTTCCATGCTGTTTTTGCTTGGCTTGTATTAAATAAAATGCTTCAATGGAGTGTGGTAGTCTAGCATTTGTTTTGCCTCAGGAGTAGATTGCCCCATCTTGCATATCTGGTCAAGTAAATTGCTCTCTTGCCTGTGTACTTCGATAATAGTACTGGGCTTTAGACCTTCCTGTACAGCCCCCTAGTGAGCAGGGCTGCAAGGGCTGGGCCCGCGTGGCGCTAACAGGCTTCTGTGTTGTAATGGATGCATTCATCTCCTATTTACATAAATTAATAGTTAAAACTTGTTTGGTTGCTTAAGAAAACTCATTAGGCTTTTGGAGTAGCTGAATTATGAGCACTGTGGCAATTGCTCCCATTGACTTGTCTCCCGCTGGCTCACTGGGAACCAGTCCATCTCAGGGTCAGGTCCCTGAGTTTCCTTACTAAATTAAACAGATAGCATTTAAAAGAAAATACAAGTCATCTGTTCAGTGCAAAATGCATGTTGAGGAAGTTCCTTACAAAAAAGAAGTTATGTTTAAATTTTAAAAAATAAAATTATAGTCTGAATAGCTAATTTTCACTCAGGAAATAGGTCATAATTTTTACCCATTTTCTACTAGTCACTAGAGAAAGCTTGACATTGTAAGAGAAAGGTCAGCTTGCTTAACCTGCAGTGGGATAGAAATGAAAAGTGAAAAGCCTGGTCAGATTCTGAGTTTTGTTTTTCTTAATTGAACGTTCTGCTTTGCCTTTTTACCTTATTTTACCAAATTTAATTTTTTTTTCCTTTTTTTTTTAATAGATTGGAGAAAGAGAGCATTCAGCGCAGCATTAGCAATGAAGCAAAGGCCCGAGCCCTTCAGGCCCAGCAAAGAGAGCAGGAGCTGACACAGAAGATGCAGCAAATGGAGGCCCAGCATGAGAAAACTGGTAGGTGGTAGGGAAAGATTAGAGCCTGGGCACTCACTCACAAGCCAGGCCCACGCCTTACTGTGAAATGACATCAGGAACACCTGTAACCTTTGGCTGGCCGAAGGGAGCAGATGCTAACTACACCGGAGATTCCGAATTACATATTAGTTAGCGTTTAAAAGAGAAAATGGAAAGTATTGCCCACTGTCTGTTGATTTCAGAGTGCTGCTCTCACATCTGTTGCACCATCTGGATTATGAGTTTATTTACCTGTGTTCAAGAAACGTAAAGCTGAGAGAGACCACAACAAAGTAGAAAAACAAAGGGCTTGTTTTTGGCTGGATTTTCAGGCACACATGTTATATAAAGAAAATAGCATCAGAAGCTCTGCGGGAAATGCTCTGAGCTTACAGTTAAAGTCTCCTGAATAGCATTGAACAGTTCCCACAGTACACACATTATAGCTACTCTAAAAGCTTAATGAGTTTGCTTCGGCATCCAAACTGGAGAAAAGCTTTAGCCATTAATCGGTTCTTAATTCACTGTCGCAGCTGGATGTAATTCACTGGCTCCAAATTGATATGTTCCTTTATTTAATCTTTGCAGCCTCAAACATTTTTAGCATTAGTATGAGCCCCCTCCCAACACCCCCAATCTAGAAGAAAGATATTTAATCCCTTGCATACTTCAGTTTGTCATAATAAGAGACTTCATCATATTGACTTAGCAGATCAATAACTCCTAACCTTAATCTGTGAGTAAAAATGGATTTTACGAAACAAAAAAAGCCTTTTGTTATTTTGTCATGCCAGTAAATTTAACAAAGGGGCATATTAAAACAAAAAATAATTTTTAAGGAGGTAGCCTCTGAGCATAGAAAGGAGGAGAAGCTTCAGCTTTTATGGAGCGTGATGTATTCATGTGTTTAATGAAATAGCATTCTTTTCCACCGGTCCTTTAATGCCTTTGGAAAAATGAGGTAGCCTGTATTACTTCTTAGCAGTGCCAGTTAATACCTGAAGTAGCAGGCACATTTACATCTCCCATTGATTTGTTTTTTGCCTTTTTTTGCAGCATTATTGCAGTACTAGAGGACCTTATCTTGTGTTGAGGGATTGCAAACAGCTATGTTATAACTACTGTCTACACAGTAGGAGAGAAGAAGCACTCAGAATCACAGAATTCTTGCTCTAGACACCGCATCTACATATGACCAAGAGTAACTTTGCACAAGAGATGTATAAGTTACCCTCCTGGTGCATTTATTATCCCAGTACATAAAAATGAAACAACTTTGAGGTTGAGTATGTATACAAGGAGGTGCTGAAAATAAAGAAACCCTTGTGTGTTATGATCTTTCATGCATAAAGGAAATTTGGGTAATAGTTGTCTGTGATTCTGTGAATGATTTTAAAAGCAGGAATCAAGAAAAACTATTTTGGACTATCTTCTTCTCAGAAGAATAAAGGTCTTTTATTTCTAGGTCATGAGTTTTGGTGTAGCCCAAGCTACTGGTAGCTGAAATGAATTTATAAAAACTGGATAATAAGTCTTGTATCTGATCATGAGAGACTGAACATAAATTACAGTAAACACAGAACACTGTAAATAAAATAACCACCCTCTAAAAGGAAAAAATAATGCACATTACAGTCTGCGTGCTTGGATTACTAGCATATCCTCTGCACCAGCTGAACAAGCAAAAGGCTGCTAAGGCTGCTAATTTTATTCCTCCCAGAAATATCAATAACCTTACAGCTAAAAATTAAAACCACTGGCTGCAATATATAGTCTTTACAGGGATTCCTGTCACACAAGACCTGATTCAGTGGTCACATCACCTTAACACTTTAGGTTAGCTTATTCTGACATACAGCCTGTACTTGGTGAATGGTGATGTTATAATTCCATGTGCATGTAGCTGGAGTATGAAGAAACATACCAAAACCAGTGAGATCTAAACAAGAGAAATAAAGAATGTATTAAATAGTTTCTAAATTCTCTATACGTTTATGTAATTTTAAAATGATTTTCTAGTTTTCTAATTTTATTGTTTCTAGTAAATGAATTGGACTCATTGCTGACTTCCCAGAAAACATTCATAGGAAAATTAAAGAAAGAATGTTGTTTGTTGGCGAGCAAATTGGAACAAATGTCAGAAAAATACAGGTTAGTGTATTTTCTTATCCTGCCCCCTTTATTATTTTGACATGCTTCCTTATTTTGTATCTGTTTTTCAATATTTGTTATTGTTCATCTTGTCCCAGATATTGCACATCCTCTCAATATAACACATGCCATTTAAGTAACACGGATGGATTTTTTTCCAAAACAGTACTCATTTTCTACTTTTCAGATTATGTTTGTGGCTATTAATTTAATCTTTTTGGTTTTAGATAAATCCAGTTTAAAAATTGCTTACTATATTATTTCTGATGTTCTTATTCTTAATATGAAAAGTAGAAAGTTCTTAGTGGAACTACAATTCCAGTTTATCAGAAACTATGTTAAAAATAGTAAATATTTAAAGCTCTCAAAACCATAGCATGTTGCTTTAGTTATTTACTTAAAGCTCCATTCATAACAGTACACGCCGAATAATTATCTCTGAAAAATTTGTTGTCATTGAAGCTGTGATTCTGCTGATGCTTATTATGTGGTGCTCTCATTTAGAATCAGTAGTAGTGCTACATACGAAACCATTAAAAATTCTGAAGTACAATTAAAATTAGAAGCAATAACTGGTTTAAATAAATGCAAAAGTAGGAAGGTATCTATTTAAAAACTAAGTTCTATAGGACAGGAATATTGCAGTTCCAGCCCTCATATTCCTTCCTTGTCATTACTTTCATACTGAAAAATATGCAGCATCAAATAGACTTTTTGTTGAAACTTTCTGCAAGGTCATATTAAGGGTAGTGGGAAAAAAAAAGCTGAAATGGTGAGGTAGTATTCTGCAACTTCTGTAAATCTCATGCAAAATGAATTTGGCAATTAAAGGTAGGAGTATTCTTTTGTGGCTTATGTGAAGTAAGAGAAACGTTCAGCAAAGATAAAACTTGTTTTCAAGATAGATTTCTTCTGCTGGGTGGATTTAATTATCTTGTTGAACTAACAACAGGGTCAACACTCACTTAGGGAGAGAACTCATTTATCCCAATATCCTGTCTCCAGGGATGATCAAAGGGGAATTATATAAGTAGATAATGCTTTCCACAGGTACTGCCTCCACTGGCCATCCTACTTTCCATGGAGTAAGAGGTGTTGACTAGCTGTTAAGTAGCTGAAGTTGGGAGATGAATCCCACCATAAGTATTCAGGGGAGAAATTAGAAACTTGAGGAAATATAAGCCATCTTCCCCTGCAAGTGTTGTGATGGGTGTGTGAGAGAGAAGCAAACAGAATTTTTCTTCTGAAAAAGCAGAGCTCCTTTGCTAAAGTAATATAAAATCTAAATAGATTCAAACCATATCGTTATTCCAGCAATAAAAATGCACACAGACTTTGTTGCTAGAGCTCAGAATCACAGACTAGTAACTGTAAAAGGATAAAGGAAAGACAGAAAACATACTGTGAAAACACATTATTCTCTGAAAATAAATACCAGAGATTGCCAAGTGTATCTCCACCTAGCAGCATTAGCTGACTGTGTCAAGAACCTGAAAGGGGAGAAGGAGCTCTCTTGGATCTCCATAAAGTTGTATACTTAGCACAAGGAGCGGTGTGGAAGAATGTATTAAAACAGTTTTGAGAAATGGCCCCAAAATAGTTTGAGATTGCCTGCATTGGAGTGGGAGCTGTTGCAGGCAGTTAAAGGGCTGGACAAATACGAACGGGAAAAACTAAGCACGTGAAAAGGAAAACTGAAAGGTGAAACTGGAGATGGTGGAAAATGGTAACTTAGTGAACACTTCAAAACTGATATGGTCAGAAGATCAGATGCGGAAAATGACTTAAACTGGATTTAAAATGCATGAACATTCCTTAGCTTTCAGTAGCATCTCTCCAAAAGGCACTCTTCACACTCATTCTCATGTGCTGTAGTGCAAAACCGCAGTTCTGGGATAGAATGCTGTACCTTTGTGCTCAAAAAAAAATTCAGAGAATTTTTTTTCGAAGATTTTATAACTTAGGTCTTATGTACATTAGTAAAAGCAGGTCAAGCTATTTTTAAAATGAGATGTAAGAGTAACTTTATATTTTTCTTGGTAAAAAGAAAAGGGTCCACTCCAAATGAAAGGCATTTCAAATTTATTTTTGATGAGTACATCTTTGGGATCTTTGAGATACTCCGGGATACTTCTGAGTGGCATGTATGTTGTTCGTATTAAATACAGGCTTTCTGATAGATGGAAATTTTTTATGAGCTAACCCCCTCCACAGGATTAAAAAAAAATCAGGGAGACAACTTCAGTCAAATTATAAACCCCTCAAGCTGTGCAAAAAGAAGGTAGTGCCTGGAAAGGTTTTTGTATGCAGAGGCGTAACCATAAGCCATAGTCCTTTGTTGATTTCTTCTATTTTTTTTTTTATTTTTTTCTCTGATTGTCACTATCTGAGTTTCTAGGTTGTGGATTAATGGTTAACACTGCCCACTGTGTATTTGTGATTTGCGTTTTGTAATTAAGGGGAACAATGGGAGCCCATTGGGTCTCGTTATATATAATGGTTGGTTTAATTTGTTTCACTTCTATCTTGTTAATTGTAAATTGATCATTAAGATTTGAATTCTAATCTGTCACCAGGGTTGTGAGTATTGAAGCTAGAGCAATGATCCTGGTTTTAATCACTGATGATGAGAAACAAATTTTATAATTTTGGTACATATTGCAGTTCATATATTTTAACACTGTATTTTATGGTGTTATAAATATTGTTAAATGACTTTTAGTGTAGTTTTACTGTTTGGACTATAATGTATAAATTATATTACTGTTTTGGCAACAGTAGGCATCCAACTGTGTGAGTTTAATTGAAGTAAAGAACACACACCCGGCTGAACTATTTTTCTGCGGGTTTGGTTGACTGCAGTCAATTGCACTTCAATACCAGGAGCAGAGTGTTTGCTTAGGGTAGCCGTGTGAAGATGTGAAACAGAGTCTGTCTGAGGGATGAGTCATTAAAATTACATGCAGTGGTACTCGTTGAGATAGCAGAAAATATTTTACAGCATATATTTAATGTATCTAATTGCTGTACAGGTAAATAACTGGTTTTAAGGGTAGGAAAAGACAATGCTTAAAAAAGCCAGCCTCTGTGCTGTGAGTCCAAGTGCTGCTATGTGAAAGATGATTCAGAGGACAAAGGCAGCTTTGCCCCTTTAACATTCAAAAATCAGCTCATCCTAAAAATATCCTATGTCCGACTTTAAGTTATGACTATTTAATGTTTGCTGGTTCTTTGCCTCTGTTGTCTGAATGTTTTGGGTGAGCCTGCTATTTTTGTGGTATTTTTTTCAAGATTGTCCCAGCGGGAGTAGTAGGGGTACAAATTTAACTTGCTACTTAACTTAGAAGTTGAGTCTTACACAGTAGATGGCTGGATCCAGAGGTATAGAGGTTTTTTCTGTTATTACCCCCTTCAGCAATTGCTTTGAATAAAGCCCATTCCTGTTACAGTGCTGAGTGAGCAGAGCTATTTAGGATCATTTGTGCAGACCCTGTACTGCTCCTGGAATGACTACTCATAGTGTAAATTTGCTATCACGGTTGTTTAGGCTTGTTACAGGCATCTTTTCATTACCCAACAACGTTGAAATTGTTTGAAAATCATGTAGAATGAACTGTTGTGTAATAAACTTGGGAATATAATTTTGGATGAGTGGTGTGTTTAAAGCTACAGGAGAAATCTTTGTCAGACAATGATGGAAACTCTCAGTATGCATGTTGTTGGAAACCAGTATTCTCTTTTTAACACCAGTACCTGAACTTCTTAATACTGACTTCAGTAGGCATTCTACCATTCCTGTGTGCTGTCCTCTAAAATTTCAGTATCATGAAATACTTGAATCTAAATGTTCAGAATCTTAGATACTTAATTTAGAATGGTGATCGTGTAAATAGTATTTTAGCTGGAATAGATGCGGATTTTTTGCTGAGTTTTTCAACTGTAATTCCAAAAGAGATGTATTAGGAGAAGAGTACCTAAGTAACATGGTTCAAAGCATCTGGCATTTAGAGCTGTGTGTTAAGAGATTAGAGATAGTGTTACTTATGTTCTCTGGGAATTCAGTATTTTATTTAGTTTCTTCAGTGGTAATTTTCAGTAGTGTTTTGATTCCTTCAAGCTCCTTCAAATGCACTGGAGATGAGCAAAGTCCCTTCAAAACTTTGAGATTTTTACCTCTTCGAAGTTGCTTCTGCTCTTTCTGTGAATCAGACAGCTACATATAAATGCAGAAAAAGAAGCAGCATCCCATGGTTGGGGAAGCCCCATGGAAATGATAAAAAACAGTATTTGCCTTGTGGGAATACTTGTAGTTGCATTTTCCTGGTGAAAAAAGGAAACCCATCCTGGTAGATGAGTTTAACTGGGCTGGTCTCTGTTACCTCAGATCTCTGGTGTGCTGCTTTGCAATGGACCTTTACTTTTATCTTCTGATTGCCTTTCTTGCATCATCAGTACAGGCGAAAGACTGCATTCATCCTGTGTAATAAGAAATGTATTTTTTATTTTTTATTGCTGACATTTCACAGTTACAAGTTTTTTTTTTTTTTAAATAGAATTAGGCCTCGATTACCTCCTTATACTATCCTGCCCACTGTTAGGAAGCTGTCCAGAAACTCATTCATCTAAGTTTGATGTGAACATCAGCGTGACTCTGATGTATTCTTCATTGACGTTCCGTAATAGAGCCATAACTCCATATTTAAATTATATACAGTCGTGTTCCGAAGTTGCCCTTGCTAAGTTCTTTCAGATTCACAGATGATATCCTGTATTGTTCTCCATTTAAATATGAAAAGATTATGTTGTCATTTCCAGATCTGTCTTGTCAGTGTAACAACATGTTTTTGAAGGAGTATTTATTCCCCTTGCACTTTGTTGTGTTTTTCAGAATGTCAGTTGTTGCATTCTGTAACAGCCAGGAAGGTAAAGTCTCTTCCTTCTGTATCTGCAGCATATTTAAGTTTATGATTTAAAGATATCTCTGAAGCTTTTTAACCTCAAGATCTGGAGTGGCAGATGCCATCAAACAAATTTGCCTGCTTTTGATTCTTACGTTCTGATGGTATAGCAGATTCTGACATGTTCTCATTAACCTTTTCCAAGGAGTTAAACTGTACAAGTGCATAATGTATATTTTATCACAATTTTATCTGAGATCTTTTCCTGATATTAAGAAACAGCTCATGCCTGTTTCTTCATGGGCTGATGGTTAGAGATGTAGCAAGTAACAGTCCCAGGTCATTCATGGATCTGGTGTTTCTGCTCACCCGTGAAGAATAAGAATTGCTAGAAAGTGACTAAATTTCTTAAAGGCTCTGCCAAGCGTTATGTAGATTAGAGTGTGGGTATTATTTTTGTTGTTTCTTTAGCTTTTATTAATTTTCCTCTTTTTGTGCGTGTGTCACGCAGTGTTTTGGGCATATCAGGGCAATAAAGTTTCTAAAACAGTAGTAGTATTCGGAGTTCAACCTGTGAAGTACAATTAGGGCTGAAAAAGTTTCTAGTACCCATTTTTTTGAATTAGATGTTGGCCTTTACCAACAAAGAACTTGGAAGGAGTTTTCAAATGCTTAACAAGTATGGATTTACATGTATTGATGATGTTTAATAGCAGCACCTAATGTCAAATGACATGCTTGTTTAAATAAAGCTGAAATTAGCATAGCCAACCTATGACTGAGTAATTGACGTATTTACCAGACACACTGCAGCTTCATGTTCTTCCATTTTAAGAATATTTGAAGTGGTTTCTTGTTTCTGTAAGTTCTACTAATAGCCTTTTTATGCATTATATATAATGTGTGGAATTTTATAAATGCTGAAGCCACATATTGATGGCACACTGCAGGATGAAATCTGACAACATCCATCATCACTGTGCTTTACTTCTGTAGATCTAAAGTCAACCAGCTTAGTCAGGAAAAAGAGTATCTTCATGGCAGATTGGAGAAGGTGCAGAAACGGAATGATGAATTGGACCAACAGTGTATCCAGCATGGGAGAATGCATGAGAGGATGAAGTCAAGGTAGGAGGTCCTGTTAATCTGTTAGCAGGTGGTATGTTATACTGTACCTGTTAGGCTGTAAACATAAAAATGACACTAAATTGTTTGAAAGTAATGGTCTTGCTTTATGAAAATGACCACCCTTCCCCCCACCCCTTCAAGCATTCTGTCAAGTTTTTTTTATAACATCTTTTGCTTGTGCCATTTTGGATAAATAAAAGGAAAGCTTGAACAACACAGTCTTCCAAAGAATTTAAGCCTAGTACATATGTGTGTGGGCTGCTTCGGCTGTTCTCTGTTCTAACTTGGATGAATTGTCTTACCATAAAAAAAATGAGGAGGGAAGGGAGGGCTGAGAAGGAGAAGAGGAGGTTATTCGGTAGTGTGAAGGTAGATTACAGATGTGGATTCTGTAATGCCATGTAATGTTTTGGGTTTTTTTCATATTGCCAAATTATGTTTCTTGGTAATATTTAAACTTATATAAACAAGAAAATCTTGTTGAAGGTCTTAGTATCCAGAGAGCTATTCATTGCTTCCAGATACCTCTAGCCTTCTCTAAGGATACTGACTTCTTGGGAGTAACTGGTAGCAGCTAGAGTGAAATATTTCCTCCGATATACGTTGACTATTCTGGACAGTCTCCAGACTACCTTGTGCTGTGATTTGTGTTAGACGGTCTTAAAGATCACTCTGGAGATTTTTCTTCTTGGTACCAAAAGAATCCTGTGCCTTTTCACTCTGTTTTCCAGTCTGTATTTAGTTTAAGGGTCATTGAAGTGAGCTGAGACGTGGCTGGGGAGGTGGGAGAAGTAGTGAAATGGCATTTCTGCAAGTCCAGCCTACCTAGCTATTTCTTTCTTGTCAGTACTGAAAGTCAAGGTGCAGTTTAAGCTCATTTGGGCTAGCTGGTACTGACAGAACAAAAGTTAGTGGTCTGTTTTTGAGTACCTGACAAGAACATAGCTTGCACTGAATCTGCCAGTCCTGTTCGTTCACTCCATTCCAACTATGGGCTCTGTCTATCTATATTATACTGTTTCTTGCAAGCTTTCTTTGTTCTCTTTTCAGTCTCCCAGGTCCCCTTCCTTTCCTTTTCAGATTTTTCTGTCTGAGCCTCATCTTGTTCTTTTGTAACCCAGAATTGCTGTAATTTTTTATAGCTCAGAGAACAAAGAAACTCAAAATATCTATGTGATTGTGTCTCCCATCTACGTGACTGCATAATTTTTCCATTGATCTTACCTCCCCTTTGTTTTCTTCTGGTGGATTCTTCACATTTGGGCAACACACACTGAGGAGTCAATTCTACTTTTAGCGGGGAAAAAAGTTCAATCTTTTTTTTTTCTTTTTCCCTAGCTGTTCCCCTATGCATTAGTATCCCCTATGCATTAGCATTAGTATCTAGGTGAATTTCTGTGTTAAGTTTTTAGGAGAGCCTTTCCTTTTGGTAAGAACCAAACAGACGTAGTGGAAAATGTTTCTCATTCTCTGCTGCAGCAGCAGTGACTATACAGTAGAAAAGATTGCAAGCATTAATCCAGAACAGAAAAGTGGTTTGAAAGCAGAGTGGCCATGCTGCAGGCAGTGCCCTACCTTCTGCTGCTGTTTTGATAATGGCAAGGAGAGAAAACAGCATAGTGATAGTATTGTCACATTAAATATTTTAGAATATTTAAATGTGGCGGAGATTATTGAGCATTCGAATCATGGCCAGTAACAGCATTTTAAGAGAGGACTCTTCTAACATATTTTTAATTATGATTTTACACTGCATTTATTTAAAATCCAGGTAATTAATGACAAAGCTGTTATTATGAACTGCTTTAAAAATTCAGTGTAATCTGCTTTTAGTTTCCATGTCAAAACTGTAATGGATTCTTAGTTGCCAACTGCTATAAATTGGCTATGAACTATTCTTTTCTAAGTGAAGAGAAACAGCAAGTATAACTTCTACAAAAAATTTCACACTTATGTCTTTGTAAGTTGCAGGACTTCCATCAAATAAAAAACAGCAGTTTTTCTTCTCTGATTTTGGAAATAGAGATCTATCAGTGTTATTTAGCAAAACAGAGAAGAAGAAATAATGTGTTTTTCCTCAGATTTCCATCCACCACTCAGGTACAAATAAGCACAACGCATTATTAAGGCTGCTTATTGCATGGATATGTTTTCCCTTTTTATGCAGCCACCAGTACCCAGTACCCTTGGTCTCCTTGCAATGCAACAATGTGCAACAATGTGCAGTGGGTTCCTCCCTGATTTTCTTTCTGTTTTTATTCTGCCTCTCTTTAGTTTCTTGTAGCAAAATTATTTTGACTTAATCTTGAACTTAGTATTGCATTTGATTAATAAGAAATGGTAGCATTGTAGTTAAGAAGTCCATCACTACTTGTGTACTGCTGTGAAAATGCAGTGGGCCCTGGTGTAACTTGTGGCAAGAGCAAGATCTAATTGTTCGATTGGAGAATATATTTTGGAGCAGCAGTTTGATAGTTGCAATAACTACACTGCTGAAAATGAACAGAATAACTTTTTTTTTTTTTTTTTTTTTTGCCATTCCTATCTTTCTGTCTGTCTATATGCTGTACATGAATGTTGTATGAAATGTTGTAAGTGGGTTTCAAAACAAAAGGTTGCTTTAAACTGCAGTCTTTAAAGATTATTTCAAATCAGTCTTTTCACAGTAATGCAAATATCCATCCCTTTCAGTGTTTTTTCTCAGTGAAACACAACATTAAAAGAAGTAGACATCCAACTAAATGATGTTAGATAGTGATTTCTTTGGCTATGTAAAATATCTCAAAAGTATTAGGTAGCATGACATAAGTCTGTACCTGTGGAAGTGAGGTGATCCGTGTCGGTGCCTTCACAGGTGTGAGTGTTGGAGAAATAAAATCTTCTCTTTGGTGTGGCAAAGAACGTATTGGGATCAGTTTTCTACTTGAAAGCAAATTTTATGATTAAATTGTTCAAATTCTGTAGATAAGTGTTCATAGCAGAAATTAGCAGATAGAAGGGAGAATGGAATTTTGAAGGCCCAAATGGTGTATGTAATGTGGGATTGTTATCTTCAAGGAGCAGAAGAAAATCGCAAGCAATCAATTTCTGTTTTTAAAGATGAACCAATTATGCCTTTACTTTATATCAAAGAACAAGAAAGAGTACGTGGACTATATGTTGTATGAAGTGTAAAGCTTTTTTGAAACATTATTAATGAAACATAATTTGGAAGCTTGTGATTGGATGTTTTCAAACTAATTTTCAAACTAAGATTTGTAGGTGGAATCTGGGGACTGTAAGTTTTCTCTGGAATTCCTACTTGGTAATTAGAGCTGGTATTTTTTCCTCTTATGTGTGTGATCACTGTTTGATCGACATGACATTAGCAATCCATGTTATACAGATTTAACTGGGGCTTTTAGTCATGGTACTTTGGGAGAGGCAGTAGTGTTGTGTGTATTTCAACTGTATTTTTGGGAGCTGAAGTTAAAAAGAAGAGCCTACAGGACTGGCAGTTTGGGGCAGATGTGTGTCTATTCCTCAGGCATCAGTGGTTGTAAGTTAACTATAAAAATGTTACAACCATCTGTGTAACAAGACGGCAGAGATCTGCTCTTGCCTGTTACTATAAATAAGAAGGAGATTTGTTTGACTTCATAGACATTGGATTTATAAAGACTCTATGTGTCAAATTGTAACTATGTGCCATGTTGCTGAGATGCGTCTGCAGCCAACTACCTGGGGTGTCTTCCCCTTCAGAGATTGTAGTGGAGTGCAGCGACTGTGCAGAAATGCCTGAATTCCACAGTGTGTGACAAATTATATTTGTTTTCCATCTATGGGGAAATGCATGATTCTTACGGATAAGCTTATCTGTAAGAGTAGCTAAAATGGATTCTTAAGTGGACCACTATAGGAGTTAAGAGATAAACGATGCTCAGATTGACAGTAATTTGAACGTTTTTTCCACCATTAATTTTCTTGTTGCTGTTACTAAGCAAAGTGTGAGAGATCTCATATGCATGAGAGAACACATATATATGAGAATTGAGACACAAATTGAGAATATACCAGCCATTTCAAGTAGCTGAAATCATAATTGCTGGCTTGCTGTCACATAGTGGAATAGAAATTTGGAGTTTCTTTGGTAAATCTCCAGTGAAACACTTGAATAATTATTTTTCTTGATAATTGAATGTATTAACTTGAATTATATATTTTACATTTCCTTCCTAAGTCGTAGAATTATAGTTAATGTGTTGTTTTTTCTGTTTGTTTTGTTTTTCTATAAATGTTGATGAGTAGAAGAACTCAGTTTTGACCTTTGCTTAAAGGCTTTTTATTTTCCCAATCCAATGGAACAATTGTTACCTTAGTCTTTATAGCCTAAGCATCTGTTTTGAAATGCAATTACTGCATTAAAAGTGCATTAAATTGGAGCTTTTTAATTTAAAAGGCATTAATTTTTATACTGAGAATAGTGAAAAACTCTCAGCTCTATTCAGAATTTGGGATTATCATTGTCAATTAATTTTTTTATTGCTATGTAATATGCTCACATTTTAGTTTGTAAAATGTACTGGAGAATTACTATTAAAAATAATCAACAAATGTTGCGTATATGCATGTGCACACACACACGTGGGTGTGTGTATATATATATATAAAACAAATGACATCAAAATCTGAAAATGTATTTTTCTTTTGTTTAATATTTTTGGATGTTTTAACACAGTACATATGATCTCCATCCCTCTTCTTCTCTTGTTCACTGTCTTTTTCCTTCTCCTTATTTTAAGTAGGTGTGTATATGTATCATATACATGTATATATTATTTATAGTTTTATATGTATACTCTACATATTAATATTCCCATTCTAAATAGGTAACAGCTTGTGTAAGATCACATAAACTCCTTAATATTGTTTTTAAAGACTTATTTTCCAAGCGCTTGGATAGCACACGCATAAAGGAAAACTTATTTTAGTTGTTAGAAAACCTGAAAATGTACACCTAG